CCCAGAGTTAGAAGTTGGAAAAGCAGAGGGGAGTGGGGAGGGAGTAGAAATCATAGTGCCAGAAGTAACTGTGGCTCTTAGTTACTAAGAACCCAGGCTGGATGGACAAGTGTGATTCCCTGAAGGAACCCAAAACATTAATGCGGCCAGAGCAGTTGGAGTGCTGTTACTGCAGGGTCCCAGGGAGACAAGGAGTTCTTCGCTAGAGAGCCCTGGAGCAAGAGGCCACTTAAGAATATTTTCCCAGGCAAAGGCTCTCCTTATCTAGAGCATCTGGCTGAAACACATGAAGTGATTTCTGACTATCCATAGCCTCAGCCTCCTAGTTGCTCCAAGGCCTTCTGGGCTCTTCCCAAGTTTCTAAACACTGAAGAGCTTCATATGGGAGGTCAAATGCCCCTTAGTTTAGAGTTCCTATGCAGAAATTCCTGAGGAGAAGTGGGGAAAAGGAGGTAAGAAAGAGAACGGAGGTTCCTGAGGGGCGGGGTGGGGTGGGGGAGGCCCTGCGGATACAAAAGGATGGTGCAACTATCCTGGAGGAGCCAGTAGAAATAAGCTGCTCTAGGGGTTCAAGAAGCTGCCAATCTCAGCTCCCTGGGCCCCTGGAAAAAAAACTTATCTCTAGCAGAATATCAGTAGCAAAGGAGGAAGGAAAAACAGAGCTTCTAGTACCCAAGGCACTCAAGAGCTGACGGAGCTTCAAGGGGAGATTCACCATTCTTCACCCAAGGGCCACCTGTCAATCAGGCAACAAATATTGATTATGTACTGGGAGCTTGGCACTCTGAGGGGGCCACTGCAGGAGGGCTGCCTACCTGGACAACATGTCCTAGCATTTACAATTGATAATACAAATTACTTGAAACTATAAACAACATAATATAGATTTTGGGAAAATTTGTGTGGAACAGATGAAAAATACTGAACAAGAAATCTGGCTGCAGAAGTCAAGCAACCACTTTAGGAAAGCGAGAGGACTGAAGGTTGATTTTGACAAGCTAGCAGAATTGAGAGAGGGGAGCTCCTTCTCTGGACAAGGAGGGAGGGAGGGAGGGATGGGCCTGGTGTATCTGAGGCACAGGGAGAAGCCTGGCCTGAATGTAGTTGAGGGTGTGTGTCAAGGAATCGGGGGAAATCAGAAAAAAAAAAGGAATCTGCAAATCCTGTAGAGTGCCAGGGCCCAAATGCCCTGTGTGGAGTGGAGCACCAGCCAGGCTGAGGTTCCAGCTCCTCAGCCTGTTCAGAGGCCTGACTCAGGACAGGGTGGGTCTGTCCTGGGCTGCTGTTGTGCCACTGTCCTGTAAACTCCACCCAAGCTTGCACTCAAGGAAAGGGGTGGAGCTGTGGAATGCTCTTTCCCACTGGAGCCTAGTTCTTGATGAACTAGGAGTGCGTCTTCCCAATGCTTACAAGCCCCAGGCAGCCCCCAGAGAATTGGGTCAGGTAGAGGGCTGTGAGCTTTTCAGGGGGGAAGGGGGTGCAGCGCCCTGTGAATAGGTCATGGCTCTGGTTATCTCCCCGACCTCTGTGCAGAGAGGTCTGGCCAAGAAGCTTGTCTTCAGGTGGGAATTGTGTGTAGTCTCCTCCCCTGCCACCACCTCCCACCCCTACTGTTGCCTGTTTTCCCCTCTAATTTGACTAGTTTTGCATCTCCAGGATCGCCCACCCCCGGCCACGCCCCAGTGTCCTTTTCGACTGGACTGCCGACCACTGACCTGACTTTCTTGTTGCCTCTGCCCCCTCCAGAATTCGATCCGCCACAACCTATCCCTGCATAGCAAGTTCATCAAGGTTCACAACGAGGCTACTGGCAAGAGCTCCTGGTGGATGCTGAATCCGGAGGGAGGCAAGAGCGGCAAGGCACCCCGCCGCCGGGCAGCCTCCATGGATAGCAGCAGCAGGCTGCTCCGGGGCCGCAGCAAAACCCCCAAGAAGAAACCAGCTGTGCTGCCAGCTCCACGTGAAGGTGCCACTCCGAGGAGCCCTACTGGCCACTTTGCCAAGTGGTCAGGCAGCCCTTGCTCTCGAAACCGAGAGGAAGCTGATGCGTGGAGCACCTTCCGTCCACGAAGCAGTTCGAATGCCAGCACTGTCAGCACCCGGCCCTCTCCCAGGGAGCCGGAGCCTGAGGTGCTGGCGGAAGAGGAAATGCCAGCCTCAGCCAGTGGCTATGCAGGGGGTGTCCCTCCTACCCTGAAAGAAGATCTGGAGCTGTTAGATGGGCTCAATCTCACATCTCCCCACTCGCTGCTGTCTCGGAGCAGCCTCTCTGGCTTCTCTTTGCAGCATCCTGGGGTTCCAGGCCCCTTACACACCTACAGCACCTCTCTCTTCAGCCCAGCAGAGGGGCCCCTGTCAGCAGGAGAAGGGTGCTTCTCAAGCTCCCAGTCTTTGGAGGCTCTGCTCACCTCTGATACGCCACCACCTCCTGCCGATGTCCTCATGACCCAGGTAGATCCCATTCTGTCCCAGGCTCCAACACTTCTGCTGCTGGGGGGGATACCTTCCTCCAGTAAGCTAGGCACGGGGGGTGGCCTGTGTCCTAAACCCCTAGAGGCTGCAGGCCCCAGCGGTCTGGTTCCCACCCTCCCGATGATAGCACCAGCACCACCTCCAGTCATGGCGGGGGCTCCAGTCCCCAAGCCCCTGGGGGCTCCTGTGCTCACACCTCCTACTGAAGCTCCAAGCCAAGACCGAATGCCTCAGGATCTTGATCTCGACATATACATGGAGAACCTGGAATGTGACATGGATAACATCATCAATGACCTCATGGATGGGGACGAAGGACTGGACTTCAACTTTGAGCCAGGTATGGCCCACCTTAATCATGGCAGCATCTCACAACCTATTCCTGTTCCTAGGTGTCCAGCTAGTCCTGTGATCTAGCAAGGGGGAGATTGAGAACAAGGGGTAGCTGGAAGTCCCAGGGAATTAGAGGGAGGACATCCCATTAGAGTGGCATAGTTTCCAGATGGGACCTCCAAGGCCCCTCAGCAGTGCTCACTGCTACACGGAAGCACGGGAGAGGTGGGGGAGGGGCTGTCTCTGTTTTCCTTAATGTGGTTCTTGCTGATGGAAAGTTGTCGTGCCCCCAGATGAGTCTCTGACCTTGTCCTCCGTTTTTTCTTCCCACAGATCCCTGAGCCATGGTTGGAAGCTTCATTCCCTGCTTCAGAGACAGAACCAGGCGTGCCCATATCCACTCTTTACCCTTGACCCCTCCCAGGGAATTTGGGACCCTGCTTTAGAGCTAGAGTAGGGTCTGCTCACCTGGGTACTGAGAAAATTATAAAGATATAGCTGGGGGGTGGGGAGGGAGAGGGGAGGGGAAGGGGAGAGGGTTTATTCTCACTGTGCCAATTAGGGAGCCATCCTCAGCTCCCCGCCCCCACGCATTCCCACCCCATAGATTTTGTAGCATGGGCGGGCAATACTGTTGGAAATGTGAAGTCACCAGTGGCCTTACCCCTGCCTTTGGGAGCAGGATTTTTTGTAGAGTCTTATCTGAGCTGGTCCAGGCTGGACTGAGCCTGAGATTTTTATGCAGTGGCCCCTTGGGCCAGTGGTGTGGGATTGGGGGTGTAACAGGGATCTGGAAGGGCCAAGGTATGAAGCCTGGAATGGCTGTGGCTCACCAAGCCAAATCACCCTTGGAAGACTATAGATAACAGAAAGGCTTTTTGTAAACCTTCAAAGAAATATAAACACATAATAGGGAGATGTTACACAGTGGCAAGGTGTTAGTGATGGGGAGAGTGCTTTTTTCTTTTTGGAAGGCTTTGCCATAGTCACCTGATGCAAACACTACAGATATTATTCTTGGAAACACGGGGGAGACAGGGGAGAGAACCCTAGGCCTGCAGAGAGCAGGGGGCAAGGGGAAGAGCTCCCATGAGGACCAGGTCTAGAACATGATCTGCACTGAACTAGCTTGGAGTTTTCCTGAGGAAAAGCTAAGCCAGGTGCCTTCATCCTGTCACCTTGTGCCTAGGAGTGTGTGGTGTTGGGGTGCAGCCACACTCTCTCATGACCCCCTATGGGTTACTGCTATGGTGGGAGAGTGCAGTTGAGGGCCTGGAATGAGTCTGTGGCCTGGGAAGGGGGTGGGAGGGGGGAGAAGAGAAGGAGGGAAGGATTTAGGGTGGTAAAGTTAGGCACAGAGACCTCCCTGTTCCAGGCCCCAGACAGCTGTCCCTGCCCTTCTTCCCCTTGCCTGACTGCAGGGGTTATGGGGAAGTGTGTGTGGTGGCAGGCAGGGGGAGGGGTGGAACCGGGAACGGGGAGCTGGGGAGCTTGGCTGAGGGTCTGGGAAATGAGCAGGGATGGAGGAGAATGTAGATCAGGTTTACTAGCACCTGCTAGGGAAGGCCATCTGGGGCTCATTCTCCACCCTAGCCCCCAAAGCAGTCCCTCCCCCAGTCCTCTTTGCATTGTCCCCTCCCCCGCCCCTGCTGTGGGTTCCCATCATTTCCTGTGTCAGCGCCTGGCCTACCCAGATTGTTTCGTGTGCTAGATTGGAGTGGGGAAGTGTGTCAAATCAATAAATGAATTAATTCAATAAATGCCTATAACCAGCTCTGGTTTCTGCTGCCTCTCTGTTCCCCTGCGGATAAGGAAGGAGCAGGGATAGGGACTGCCCAGAGGCAGACTGGTGGGGGGCAGGGGGATTTCAGTCGGGGACTTGGTGGAGTATTGTGGGGGAGGGAAGATGCCCATCCCATCACCTAACCCCAGCAGGAGTAGGCGGTCTGTGATAGGCCTCCCAAGGGGAGGTCGTCTGGTTGGAAAAGACCCCACCCCCTACTCTGTCCCTCAAAGGCTTATTGTACTACACTTTGCTGCCTTTCCTCACCCCCCACCCAAGTGCTTGCCCCTGCCCTCTCCTGGTCCTTTGGATCCTGAGAGCCTCCACAATGCCTGGGGCAGATTTAAGGCTTGGTGCCGATAATGGGAGAAGTCTTTCTTGAAAAAAGGAACCTCACATTAAATGCCAGTGATTTCATTGCAGCTCTCACTTGGTCACTTTATTTTGTTAGCGATGTTTATCTCGCTTACTGACAAAATCCGCTCTGGTCTTCAAGACCGGAGCCCTACGAGTGGTCCCCTCTTCATCTGATCGTCCTGATGATTTGGACTGGAAAAGGAAAGGGTCAGTAAGTACAAAGGCCCCTACAGAGAAGTTTTCTACAAACTAGGGCCAAAGGCAGGACCAAAGAGGTGAGAGGCAGGTCTTGGGCATAAATGTTGGATTTGGAAAGGAAATTCATCCCAGAGAGCCAGGGCAGAGAAGACTTCAGTAGACAGGTGGGGAAAGGAGGCTTCTGGGGCAGACCATGTTCGGTTAAGGCTTACTGGGAGGTTCATGGAGGATTCAGTTGGAACGACTTTCTTGGATTCTTGGATTCTAAACATTTTCGATCGACTTCTCTCCAGGAGGTCACATTGTGTACTCAAGGCATCTAGGAACCAGGGAAAGTCACCCCCCACATACACACCTCTGAGGACTAGAGACCTTCCCTACCCATCCTGGCCCTTCCATCATTCACATGATCACTTGGAGTAACCAGGCCTAAAGCTAGGCTGAGGAGTAACCCGAAGGTGCCTAAGCTTTACTCTTTTCAGTGGGAATCGGGATGCCAAGAATCCAAAAGCAGAAGATGAAGGGAAAGATGGGAATGAGGTGGTGGGGATAGGGAGATGTACTGAGAAGATGGCTGAGAAATGGCGAGGAGGGGTGAGTGGGACATGCACACTCCACCTGGTTTGAGCCAAGCACCACTCCTGAAGTGGACCTAGACCTAGACTCTAGACTCTAGGATCTTGTGATCCTACCTGACAGACTACACCAGCCCCAGCCTATATTCTCAATCACCCAGCTGAGTCCAGTATCCTTCACATTCCTCCTTCCTCTATCATGCTGCTTACCAACAAGCTTGGGTTCTGGGTTCTTCAGGAGGGGCACAAATGATTTGTAGGCATTCTCAAATCCATCTCCTGTGAATACAGTAGTGCAATACCCCTAGCCCCATCACCCAGCCTCTCCCTTCCAAAGCCCAAAATTTCAGGACCCTAATACTCAATACTACCTTGGGCTGGTGTAACTTATTTCCTCCCCTCAGGTCCATCCCTCAGCCAGGTCGGGGTAGGGGTTGGAAGCACAGAATATGCTAACTTAACCATTGTCACAGAGGCAATGCTCTTTCTTAGGCTTGACTAGAGACAGTCAATTTGGATATGGTCGAGGGGGCCCTACTTGAAGGATCGGATTCACAGTCCAGCTTTGGGGCCTTACTCTATCCCTGGGGAATGCTCCCAAGTCTCTACCTGGTGCCCCACACTCCACCTTACAAACGTAGTAGGTGTTTCGAGCTGTAAGGAATTTGTTGGCATAGTTTCCAGGAGTCTTCATCAGAAAAAGCAACTTCACTGTCCCCGTTTCATCACATAAATCAATGGTGTCTGGAGGGAGGCCACAGGGTAATTAAGGCAGCTAAGGAGGGGGAGCGGGAGTGAAAGGGGCCAGTGATCCTATCCAGAACAGGTTGAAGATGCTGTGGGGATTCAAGGAGCTCTCTTCTTGCCATCAGGAGAACTCGGGGGCTTGAAGTTGTAGGCTCGATGACCGTACTACTTCAGACCCTTGGCCACGAGTCCCCTCCCCACACTCCTCACCTGTTATAGGCAACCCCACTTTACAGCGGGCATAATGCAGCAGCAGAAGGACAGAACAGTTAATGTTGGCCAGAAACCGCTGATTATCTGAGAAAAGACAGGATGGGGCATGTGGCCCTTCCCCAATTATACCATCCCTGTGCCCTCCACTGCGCCTCCAACACCCCCAACCCTACACATAGACTCCAGCTCTGTGATACCCCTCACCTCCATGTTTGATAAAGATGAACATGCTCTCAAGATCTTCTCACTCTTCAAAGAGAGTCTTGATATGTCATGGCAGAAGGAGGGTGTCCTAGAGGCCTTGGGGAGCCAAGTGGGCCCAAAAGATCAGGGGGCTGGAGAGGCGGATGGATTACATTGACTGAGGAGGCCCAGACTGGGCAGACAGGAGAGAGCTATGGGCAGTAGTGGATAACCAACATCCCTAGGGGTGGGGCCTGAGGCTGCAGCTGAGGGATTATGAGGTCAGAAGTGCTATGTGTTGCTAAGAGGAGAAGAACCTGGGTGGGGTCTATAAAAATGTGTTGAAAATGGGGGCAATGACAATAACCGAAGAAAATCAGGGCAGCATGGTAAATCTTACTCTAAACTGGCCCCCGGAAAGAGTGTAGGACACCTAGAATGAAGTCTGTTTCTGGAGCAGCACCCTTTCCTAGGGAATTTGTAGAGCCACTGTCACTGTGGCAGGAGCCCATGGCTCCTGTTTCATGCCCTCAGTACTGTGCCTCCCACCCTCATTGTATCCCACGTTTCCCTTGCTCCCCACCCCAACAATAGACATCCTTGATGATTATCAACAGAAATTTTATTTCTCATTAGTTTCTGGAACAATTGAAGAGTAGATGGCAAGGGGGAGGGAGGGACGGCAGAAGCAATACTGTGAGGAGGAAGGGCTGGACTGGGGGAGATGAGAAACATGGATGGGGCCAAGGGGCAATTCTCAAGTAGGAGATATTGAACGAGGGGGCAGTGATGGGGGAACAAAATTCAAAATCAGCCACAGGCGGCGAGGTGAGCATTGGACCCAGGTTGGTTGGACAAGGGCAAGTTAGCACAGTTTAGGGCTCCAGGACCCTGGATTCTCTTCAGGGCCTCAGGGCTCAGGTTTCAGGGTGTAACATGGAGGAGCCCAGTAGGGGCTGTGCTGGCTGCAGGGGGAACCCCCAGGCCCTTCCCCTCCTTTGGGGGGAATCTCACTGACGTGGCAGAGCCGTTCACTGTAGTCTGGCTGCAGACTCTCCGCCAGTCCCTTAGATACACCACTCCAGGCCTAAAGACAAATAGCTCCAGGTCAGGGGCCTGTGCCAAGGGAACTCTCCTGATCTGCAACCACTGTGATTACAGAAGGGACACACACACTCCTGGCCCCCCAATACCACTGTTTCCATCTGCCTCAACCAATCTAGGATCAGTTCTTCTGGGTGTCTCTCTGTGTCGAGCCCATCCCCCAAATGGTCAGCCGCATCCTGACTGTTAGTACAGGCCCCTCTCCCCTCCCCTCCTTCCCCCATGCTCTGTCTAGCTGGCAGGCAGTTGGTGGCAGTTGACACACTGAAGTCTGCGTATGACAGTGTTCTCACCGAGAAGTTTCCATGGTATTCAGTAACCAGATCCTCTAGGTTCTTGAGGGTAGGAATTCGGGGCATTGTCCTGAGCAGGGAGAAAGAGGGAATAGGAGCACATCAGTCACGCTCTTTTATTATCCTTCTCCCCCTTCTCCCACATGGAATGAAATGAGTCTGTGTTGCCTGTGCCTGCATCTTCTTTTCATCCTCATGCCCTCTTGGGTGATCCTCTTGGGTGATTCCTTACTGTCCCGCCCTCTACTTCTGGAGACCCTGTAATAACCCTCCTCTACTATTCCCAGCACCCCCTCCCCACCGCATTTTCCTGGGATTCGGAATTCTCACCGTTCCAGCCAGCAGTACACACAGATGAGGCTCACAATCAATCCCATGGAGCCAAGAGGGATCAGCACAGCTTCCAATGCAAACAACGAAGGATTTTCGGGATTCTCAAGATTCTCTGTCAGAAAGAGGAAAGGAAAAGAGACCTAACATTTGTCGTACCCCTACTATGTGCCAACATTTAGAGCACCAACTTGGTGCCAGACACTGTGCTAAACACTATCTGTGTATTCAATCCTCACAACTCCTGAGGGGCCAGGGAGCAATTATTATGTTCATTTTACAAAGAAACAGAATCAAAGAGGTGAATGATGTGCCCAAGGCCAAAGAGGTAGGAAGTGGCAGAGGCAGGTTTAAACCTTAGATTTGCCTGGTTCCAAAAGGCATCTTTACCACACAGGCTTTCTGGGAACACTGCAGGGAAATCTTACACATTCTGTATCCCCCCTGAATATCCCCTCAGCCTCCTTCTCAACCCACTCTCCCCACTCTATCAACACACTGATCCAACACTACACAGAAAAATCCTGCTTCCTGGGAGTTGGAGTTGAACAGTGAGGGGAGATGGGCCACCAAGTTTGGGGTCTTAGCGGTAGGGAGGCAAGGCAAAAGACAATGGTGCTAGAAAGGTTGGGGTACTCATGGGTCAGGGTGATGCGTTAGGCCCATTTTACCTTTTGAAGTATTGCTGCCCCAGTGAATTGGGTAGCTCCAGTCACTCCAATGCTGAGCACTTCCGCAAAGTGGGTTATAACGGCTCCGAACACGGAACGTGTAGAGCTTCTGTGCATCCACACTAGGCAGAGAGAAGCTATGTCTGTGGTCCACGGATTGTTCCTTGAGGAGAAAGAGAGTGAGGGAAAGATGGGTGTCTATAGAAGAAGGGAGAATGAAAACTGCTGCCCCCACTCCCATCTCACGTCATCTTCTGGTTCTTCTCAGTTTCCCCCTCCTCTCTTGACTATTCAAGTCACACTGCTACCTTCACTAACCAGAATTGAATGCTTTTGTTTACTTGCCTTTCTGGTATTGGGAAGAGTATGAGTAGGGAAACCTTAAGGAAAACTCAAAGATGAGGAGAAAGAAAGGAGTCAGAGGAGCAGGGTGGAAGGTGGGCAGGGGAACTAAGAGGCAGACAGCAGGAGCTGGGGACCAGCATTCCTACTGGCTGATTGAATCCTTTATTCCTACTTGCTCGGCCTGGGCTGCTATCCCCACTCACTCACCGTCCAGCTTTGGTCCCGGTCACTCCGGTACTGCACCAGGTGCTCCAAACAGTGGTCCAAGTATCTGTTGCTCCAGCTCAGTTCTAGCTGGAATTCACTCAGGTTGCGAAGTGTCAGGTTCTCCGGAGCCCAGGGGATCACTGGAGATATGTGTGCGTGTGTGGTCATTCCCCTGGCCTAGATAAGTCAGGATCCTGAAGGTAGTGCCCCCAAGCCCTCCTCCCTTCCCCATTCTATCCCTCACCTCCTGTTTTCTGCCACGTACACTCATGGTGAAAGAACACCACTTTAAATACTCCAATACCCCACAATATCCTTTGACTTTCCTTTCCAACTTACCCAGATCCTGCAGTTTTAGCATCTGTTTGGGCTGCTTCCTGTGTTCCCGTGGGTCCTGGAGCTGGACAACAAATGTTTCATAAAGACGGATCTCCTTTTTTCCAAACCAACAGCCAGAAGTGATTCCTTCAGAGAATAGATAGTGGCCACACTCCTGGAGTTTATCATCACCATTAAAGTTCCTGTACCTAGAGAAAATTTTCAAGGGACAATAACAATGAAGTAAACTTGGGTACTCCAGATTTCCACAGCCCAACAATGAAGTAAACTTGGGTACTCCAGATTTCCACAGCCCAGCCTCAGCTCCTCTAAACTGATTTTTTTTTTTTCTTCTCTAAACTGATTTATGACTTACCTCACGAGAAATTAGTGGAGAGCTTAGGGTGCTGGCTACTCTCTTTCTTGGTCCCCATACAGTCTTTTCACATCTAGTCTTTCACATCACCTCCTCCTCCCGCCCCCCCCCCCCCCCCCCCCCCCCCCCGCCCCGGCTACCGCCTCTCCCTTTCTCATACCCATAATGCAGAGTCAGGTTGTTGGGCTGGGGCTCAGAGCTGCTGTTCCAAGTGCAATTCATATACTCCACATTGAACACAAAACACTGAACCTTTGGGAGGGGCAGAGTGGAAACATCGAGGGTCCCAGCGGGTGTCGAAGTCAGGAAGGAGTCTAGCTTGGAGAGAAAATGAAGTGGGGGAGGGGAAGAAAAGACAAGATGGTCGGAAGCAGAAGCAGAGCGAGGCAAGGAACCCTTCCCTTGCCCTCCCTACAGTACTCTTAAATTCTGCCCGCATCCTTCTAATGCCCGGTGGCAGGTTTCAGGATTCTGTGCGACCCCTTCCCACAGCTTCCCTTCTCACCAACCTCCTCCAGTCCCAGGTTTCCCACCAATGTCTTCATTCCCATTGGGCGTGAGGAACTTTGGATTCAGCCCCACCCCCAGCAGAGGCAGCTGGAGAAATAAGAGAGATCTGAGTGGCAACGGTGGCTTCAACATGGCGCTTACTCTTCGTTCCCTGGGTGTTGACTGTGTCAGGAACCTGGGCCCCTTACCCACTACCCCTCCCCACCCACACATTTCCTTCTGTCATAACTTCCGGTGGAAAGAACCTTAGAAACCAGGGCTTTACGGAGGGTGTGGTGAATGTCTGCTATGACACAGGCTAAATCCTCCAGGAGATTAGGTGTTAATCTAATCTGTAGGTATAACACCACCACTGTAATGTGGTGTTAAGTAGAGACTAAAGCTGGGTATCCAATATTGTTGGACTCAAGAATCCTCAGACTACCTAGATCCCGGGAAGGATCTGTTCACTACCACCACCATTCCCAATCACCTTCTCATCTAAATTGTTTCATCCCATAGAGTGGAAGGTCTGAACCTCCCCTCATCTGATGCTAGGCTTCTTCCTTGACTCAGTTACCCTGAAACGGCTATCAAAGCTCTACTGTCTTGGGCTGGACAGAAAATGCAGTCTTGGCTCCCATGAGCACATCTATAGCTATCTTCCCTCTGACCTAATCCAAATCAGAATATCCATCCTTAGCTGTTTTCATAGCTGGATCCCTGTGGAGACTGGCAAGGAGGTCTGACTTACAAGAAGATTTCAGAAATGAAGGAACAACAATGCTAGCTTCAAACTCCTCATCTTGCCCTGAATCTGCTTCTCTTCCTGTGTCTGAATCTCATTTAATGGTATCATCACCCTTTCAGTCACCCAAATTTGAAACCTCAAAGTCATCATCAGTTTCTCCACCTCCCTCATCCTGAGAATCCAATCAGCTCTCCTGTCATGTGTCTCCCAGCCATGTCCTTTCTGTGACCACAGCCACTGTGCTAGATCAGCCTTTTATTCCCTCTAGTCACCATCAGTACTAGAACCCACGAACTGGCCTCCCTTTCTGAAGGCCCCCTGCTCTCAAACACATTCTTCATTCTGTTGCCAGATGTACCTTCCC